AGGACAGACTGTCAATGTGTCCCTCCAGCCATCCCAGGAATGACATTTGTCACCTTCATGTCTCCATCTCCCCTCCTCCACCATGACCCTCACTCAGATTTCGGGGTCAGAAATCAGCCCACCTGTCCGCAGAGAGGACGGTCACCGGACGTCACCAACTTCTCCTGGTGGCATTTTCCTGCTCGTTCCCCATTGTTCTCTGCAGATACAGTAAAGGGCTGAACTTTCTGAACCCCCCCCCCCCCACACACCAGGCATTCTCAGCCAATGACCATCACCTAATCTCCAGATTGTATGACTTCTGGGTGTATTGATGAAGAGACGACTTTCACCCAACATTCTCCGTCAGATAATACACAGGGACCCGAATGTCAGATTCACCGCTATGTGTGTATATATATATATACTCCTCGCTGTATACACCTATCATGGGATGGATGGGATGAAGAGGGCTGCAATATCGGGATTGGATGGATGGATGAGGAGAGGGATGGATGGATGGCACCCCACCACCTGTCCACCTTCTGGCACCCCGCCACCTGTCCCCCACCTGGCACCCCACCACCTGTCCTCCATCTGGCACCCCCCCGTCACCTGTCCACCTTCTGGCACCCCATCTGTCCACCTTCTGGCACCCCACCACCTGTCCCCTTCTGGCACCCACCACCTGTCCTCCAATCTGGCACCCCACCATCTGTCCTCCATCTGGCACACCCCCACATTCCACAATCTGGCACCCCACCACCCCTCCACTGGCACACTGTCCTCCATCTGGCACCCCACCACCTGTCCTCCATCTTGCACACCACCGCCTGTCCCCCATCAGGCACCCCGCCACTTGTCCCCCATCTGGCACTCCACCACCACCTGTCCACCTTCTGGCACCCCACCACCTGTCCACCTTCTGGTACCCCCACCACCTGTCCCCCATCTGGCACCCCCGCCACCTGTCCCTTGCCTGGCACACCTCCACCTGTCCCCTATCTGGCACACACCTCCGCCTGGCTCACATCTGGTACCACCTGTCCCCCGTCTGGCACACTGCCGCCTGCACCCCATCTGGCACATTGCCACCTATCCCCCATCTGGCACACTGCCGCCTGTCCCCCCCGTCTGGCACACTGCTGCCTGTGCCCCGTTTGGCACACCGCCACCTATCCCCCATCTGGCACACCGCCCCCTGTCCCCCATCTGGTACACCCGCCGCCCGTCCCCCCATCTGGCACACCACCCTCTATCCCCCGTCTGGCACACTGCCACCTGCACCCCGTCTGGCACACTGCCCGCCTGCACCTCATCTGGCACACTGCCGCCTGCACCTCATCTGGCACACTGCCACCTATCCCCCATCTTGCACACCGTCCCCCATCTGGCACACCGCCCCCTGTCCCCCATCTGGCACACCGCCCCCTCTCCCCCATCTGGCACACCACCCGCCTATCCCCCATCTGGCACACACCGCCCTCTGTCCCCCATCTGGCACACCGCCACCTGTCCCCCATCTGGCACACCGCCGCCTGTCCTCTATCTGGCACACCACCCTCTATCCCCCATCTGGCACACCGCCCTCTATCCCCCATCTGGCACACCGCCCTCGTCCCCCATCTGGCACACACGCCCCTGTCCCCCATCTGGCACACCCGCCGCCTGTCCCCCATCTGGCACACCGCCCCCTGTCCCCCATCTGGCACACCGCCGCCTGTCCTCTATCTGGCACACCACCCTCTATCCCCCATCTGGCACACCGCCCTCTGTCCCCCATCTGGCACACCGCCCCCTGTCCCCCATCTGGCACACCGCCGCCTGTCCCCTATCTGGCACACCGCCCCCTGTCCCCCATCTGGAACACTGCCACCTGTCCCCTATCTGGCACACCCACCCTCTATCCCCCATCTGGCACACCGCCCCCCTGTCCCCCATCTTGCACACCGCCCCCTGTCCCCCATCTGGCACACCGCCCCCTGTCCCCCATCTGGCACACCGCCCCCTGTCCCCCATCTGGCACACCGCCCCCTGTCCCCCATCTGGCACACCGCCCCCTGTCCCCCATCTGGCACACCGCCCCCTGTCCCCCATCGCCCCCTGTCCCCCGTCTGGCACACCGCCGCCTGTCCCCCGTCTGGCACACCGCCCCCTGTCCCCCGTCTGGCACACCGCCCCCTGTCCCCCGTCTGGCCACACCGCCCCTGTCCCCCGTCTGGCACACCGCCCCTGTCCCCCATCTGGCACACCGCCCCCTGTCCCCCGTCTTGCACACCCGCCGCCTGTCCCCCGTCTGGCACACCGCCCCCCCCTGTCCCCCGTCTGGCACACCGCCCCTGTCCCCCGTCTGGCACACCGCCCCCTGTCCCCCGTCTGGCACACCGCCCCTGTCCCCCGTCTGGCACACCGCCCCTGTCCCCCGTCTGGCACACCGCCCCCTGTCCCCCGTCTGGCACACCGCCCCCTGTCCCCCATCTGGCACACCGCCCCTGTCCCCCATCTGGCACACCGCCCCCTGTCCCCATCTGGCACACCGCCCCCTGTCCCCCATCTGGCACACCGCCCCCTGTCCCCCGTCTGGCACACCGCCCCTGTCCCCCGTCTGGCACACCGCTCCCTGTCCCCCCGTCTGGCACACCGCCCCTTGTCCCCCATCTGGCACACCGCCCCTGTCCCCCGTCTGGCACACCGCCCCCTGTCCCCCGTCTGGCACACCGCCCCTGTCCCCCATCTGGCACACCGCCCCTGTCCCCCATCTGGCACACCGCCCCCTGTCCCCCGTCTGGCACACCGCCCCCCTGTCCCCCGTCTGGCACCACCGCCCCTGTCCCCCGTCTGGGCACACCGCCCCCTGTCCCCCGTGTCTGGCACACCAGCCCCTGTCCCCCATTGGCACCGCCCCGCCCCCAATGTCCCCCGTCTGGCACACCGCCCCCTGTCCCCCGTCTGGCACACCGCCCCTGTCCCCCGTACTGGGGGACACACCGCCCCCTGTCCCCCGTCTCTGGCACACCGCCCTGTCCCCCGTCTGGGAGGGGGGACAATATCGCCCTGTCCCCGTTGGCACACCCCTGTCCCCCATTGGCACACTGTGGCTGCACCCCAATCTGGTACACCATTACTCTATGGGAATTGTCATAGTCATGGCAACCTGAGAGGGCTGAGATCACTGATGGGGACTGTAAGGGGCCCCGGGCAGAGGGACTGTTAGCTGGGATGTGGGGGTACATGGAGCCATTAGATTGGTTGACCTCTGTGGGAGGGTCCGCTCTCCTGTCACCCACTTATGGGGCACACACTGCCCTCCCAATCCCATCGGACACCTACCGAGTGGTCTCAGAGCTGCCCATAAGTACATTTAGGGGCATCCCTAATCCTGCTGTACTGGATGAGGGGCATTTCCGATGGCAGTCTCTGAGCCGGACCGATGTGTCAGGAATAGGATTAGGGTCCCAATACCACACCCCATTCCCCCCATCCTCCCTGGCAATAAATATCTCTTCTCCTCCCCTCAAGTGCGGCGGGACTTTACATGGACTTCTGAGAGGACAATTATTTATATTCAGCAGTCCCGAGACATCTGAGATCACCGCGAGGGGGGGAGGGGGAGGCCCCCGACAGAGACATCCCTTCATAGCCTACTAACATGGTGCTCCCCGCCGCCTGCACCGCCCCACCCGCAAACAGAGTGTCAGCTCCTCTGTACAGAGGACCGATGGGACTGGGGGGGAGGGGACATTTAGAGTGTAAGCTCCTCTGTACAGAGACCGATGGGACTGCGGGGGAGGGGACATTTAGAGTGTAAGCTCCTCTGTACAGAGACCGATGGGACTGCGGGGGGGGGACATTAGAGTGTAAGCTCCTCTGTACAGAGGACCGATGGGACTGGGGGGAGGGGACATTAGAGTGTAAGCTCCTCTGTACAGAGACCGATGGGTCTGGGGGTGAGGGGGGTGACATTAGAGTGTAAGCTCCTCTCTGTACAGAGACCGATGGGACTGGGGGGAGGGGACATTAGAGTGTAAGCTCCTCTGGTTACAGAGACCGATGGGGACTGCGGGGGAGGGGAACATTAGAGTGTAAGCTCCTCTGTACAGAGACTGATGGGAGTGTGGGGGGAGGGGACATTTAGAGTGTAAGCTCCTCTGTACAGAGACCAAGAGGGACTGGGGGGAGGGGACATTAGAGTGTAAGCTCCTCTGTACAGAGACGATGGGATGTGGGGGAGGGGACATTAGAGTGTAAAGCTCCTCTGTACAGAGACCGATGGGACTGGGGGGAGGGGACATTTAGAGTGTAAGCTCCTCTGTACAGAGACGATGGGACTGTGCGGGGGAGGGGACATTAGAGTGTAGCTCCTCTGTTACAGAGACTGATGGGACTGTGGGGGGAGGGGACATTAGTGTAAGCTCCTCTGTACAGAGGACCAAAGGGACTGGGGGGAGGGGACATTAGAGTGTAAGCTCCTCTGTACAGAGACCGATGGGACTGGGGGGGAGGGGACGTTAGAGTGTCAGCTCCTCTCTGTACAGAGACCGATGGGACTGGGGGGAGGGGACATTAGAGTTGTAAGCTCCTCTGTACAGAGACTGATGGGACCTGTGGGGGGAGGGGACATTAGAGTGTCAGCTCCTCTGTACAGAGACCGATGGGACTGGGGGGGGGAGGGGACATTAGAGTGTCAGCTCCTCTGTACAGAGACCGATGGGACTGGGGGGAGGGGACATTAGAAGTGTCAGCTCCTCTGTACAGAGACCGATGGGGACTGGGGGGAGGGGACATTAGAGTGTAAGCTCCTGTACAGAGGATGTGACTGTGGGGACTGGGGGGGAGGGAGAGCGACCAAGTGTGTCATTCACATCATATACTGGGACTACTATCTATTGGTGCTCCCCCGCCGTCTGCAATCCGCCCCACCGCACAAACAATGTCAGAGGGGAACAGTAGAGTGTCAGCTCTCTGTACAGAGGACTGATGGGACTGGGGGTAGGGGAAAACATTAGAGTGTCAGCTCACACCTCAGTACAGAGACTGATGGGATGGGGGGAGGGGACATTAGAAGTGTAGCTCCTCAGTACAGAGACTGATGGGACTGTGGGGGAGGGGACATTAGAGTGTAAGCTCCTCAGTACAGAGACTGATGGGACTGGGGGGGAGGGACATTAGAGTGTCAGCTCCTCAGTACAGAGACTGATGGGACTGGGGGGATGGGGACATTAGAGTGTCAGCTCCTCAGTACAGAGATGATGGGACTGGCTCGGTGTTCTCTGTACAGTTCGGCTCTCTATGTTGGTGATACAAAAATGTGGTGGAATAGTGAATAGCACAGACAATATGGGGGGGGGGGGACTGGGGGGGGGAGGGACGGAATGTTCATACTATATCTATGGAATTCTGTCCTCCATATAGAGGAATTCTGCCCTGGGATGGGGGGATGGGGGGGGAATGAGGGACGACTGGGGGGGGGGGGGAGAAGTTCCAAATACTATAAATGGTTGTTCTTGGCTTTCTTGTCAGGAAAATATTAATGATGATGAAACTTGTCTTTTATCATTGTGAAATCACACAAATGTGTCTGTAGTGGTGGAGTCAGTCTGGGGGGGGGGGGGGAGGGGTACAGTAATGAGCAACAGTGTGATACAGTCCTGGGGAGGGATTATTATTATTATACAGGATTTATTAGAGCGGTGTATCCAACACTTTGCTCAGAGCTTTAAGTATGTGGTGCGGGCAGAAACATATGGGGGGGAGGGGGGGCAGGGCAGTCAGAGGTGGAATGTGTTAGAAAATTGCTACTTGGGTGCGATGACTGTGGGGTTATTCAATCCTATGGGAGCCTGGTCACTAGGGGGTGGTTGGGGGAGCGGTCACTAGGGGGCGGATGACTCCGGCGTTATACAAATCATATGGATGCGGTCCTAGGGGGTGGGCGTGATGGATAGCGGGTCACTAGGGTGCGATGACTCCGGGCGTTATTACAATCCCTATGGGAGCGCTCACTAGGGGGCAGTGAGGAGCGGTCACTAGAGGGCAGTGACTCCGGCGGTTATACAATCCTATGGAGCGGTCACTAGGGGGCGGTGAGGAGAGCGGTCACTAGGGGGCGGTGACTCCGGCGTTATACAATCCTATGGAGTGGTCACTAGGGGGCAGTGAGGAGCGGTCACTAGGGGGCGGTGACTCCGGCGTTATACAATCCTATGGAGTGGTCACTAGGGGGCAGTGAGGAGCGGTCACTAGGGGGCGGTGAGGAGCGGTCACTAGGGGGCGGTGACTCCGGGGTTATACAATCCTATGGAGCGCGCTCACTAGGGGGTGGTGAGGAGCGGTCACTAGGGGGCGATGACTCCGGCGTTTTATACAATCCTATGGAGCGCTCGCTAGGGGGCAGTGAGGAGCGGTCACTAGAGGGCGGTGACTCCGGCGTTATACAATCCTATGGAGCGGTCACTAGGGGGCGGTGACTCCGGCGTTATACAATCCTATGGAGTGGTCACTAGGGGGCAGTGAGGAGCGGTCACTAGGGGGCGGTGACTCCGGGGTTATACAATCCTATGGAGCGGTCACTAGGGGGTGGTGAGGAGCGGTCACTAGGGGGCGATGACTCCGGGGTTATACAATCCTATGGAGCGGTCACTAGGGGGCGGTGAGGAGCGGTCACTAGGGGGCGATGACTCCGGCATTATACAATGCTTTGGAGCGGTCACTAGGGGGTGGTGAGGAGCGCTCACTAGGGGGCGGTGAGGAGCGGTCACTAGGGGGCGGTGACTCCGGGGTTATACAATCCTATGGAGCGCTCACTAGGGGGCGGTGACTCCGGCATTATACAATCCTATGGAGCGGTCACTAGGGGGTGGTGAGGAGCGGTCACTAGGGGGCGGTGAGGAGCGGTCACTAGGGGGCGATGACTCCGGCATTATACAATGCTTTGGAGCGGTCACTAGGGGGCGGTGACTCCGGGGTTATACAATCCTATAGAGCGCTCCCTAGGGGGTGGTGACTCCGGGGTTTTACAATCCTATGGAGCGGTCACTAGGGGGCGATGACTCCGGCGTTATACAATCCTATGGAGCGCTCACTAGGGGGCAGTGAGGAGCGGTCACTAGGGGGCAGTGACTCCGGCATTATACAATCATATTGAGCGGTCACTAGGGGGCAGTGAAGAGAGGTCACTAGGGGGTGGTGACTCCGGGGTTATACAATCCTATGGAGCGCTCACTAGGGGGCAGTGAGGAGCGGTCACTAGGGGGCGGTGACTCCAAGGTTATACAATCCTATGGAGCGCTCACTAGGGGGTGGTGACTCCGAGGTTATACAATCCTATGGAGCGGTCACTAGGGGGCAGTGAGGAGTGGTCACTAGGGGGCGGTGACTCCGGGTTATGCATTCCTATGGGAGGTCACTAGGGGGTGATGACTCTGGACTGGAGTTATACATTTCTATGGGGCGGTCACTAGAGGGCAGTGAGGAGTAGTCACTAGGGGGCGGTGACTCCAGGGTTATACAATCATATGGAGCGGTCACTATGGGGCGCTGACTCCGGCGTTTATACATTCCTTTGGGGTGGTCACTAGAGGGCGGTGACTCCGGCATTATACATTCCTATGGGAGGTCACTAGGGGGTGGTGACTCCGGCATTATACATTCCTATGGGAGGTCACTAGGGGGTGGTGACTCCGGGGTTATACAATCATATGGAGCGGTCACTAGGGGGCAGTGAGGGCAGTGGTCACTAGGGGGGTGGTGACTCCGGGGTTATACAATCCTATGCAGCGGTCACTAGGGGGCAATGACTCCGGGGTTACACATTCCTATGGGAGGTCACTAGGGTGCAGTGACTCCGGGGGTTATACAATCCTATGGGAGGTCACTAGGGGGTGATGACCCTGGAGTTATACATTCCTATGGGGCAGTCACTAGAGGGCAGTGAGGAGTGGTCACTAGGGGGCAATGACTCCGGGGTTACACATTCCTATGGGAGGTCACTAGGGGGCAATGACTCCGGGGTTACACATTCCTATGGGAGGTCACTAGGGGGCGGTGACTCCGGGGTTATACTTTCCTATGGGAGGTCACTAGGGGGTGATGACCCTGGAGTTATACATTCCTATGGGGCAGTCACTAGAGGGCAGTGAGGAGTGGTCACTAGGTGTTATGCATTCCTATGGGGCGGTCACTAGAGGGCGGTGACACCGGCATTATACATTCCTATGGGAGGTCACTAGTGGGCGGTGACTCCGGTATTATACATTCGTATGGGAGGTCACTAGGGGGCGGTGACTCCGGCATTATACATTCCTATGGGGTGGGTCACTAGAGGGCGGTGACTCCGGCATTATACATTCCTATGGGGCGGTCACTAGTGGCGGTGACTCCGGTATTATACATTCGTATGGGAGGTCACTAGGGGGCGGTGACTCCGGCATTATTTACATTCCTATGGGGTGGTCACTAGAGGGCGGTGACTCCGGCATTATACATTCCTATGGGGCGGTCACTAGAGGGCAGTGAGGAGTGGTCACTAGGTGTTATGCATTCCTATGGGGCGGTCACTAGAGGGCAGTGACACCGGCATTATACATTCCTATGGGGAGGTCACTAGGGGGCGGTGACTCCGGCATTATACATTCCTATGGGGTGGTCACTAGAGGGCGGTGACTCCGGCATTATACATTCCTATGGGGCGGTCACTAGAGGGCGGTGACTCCGGCATTATACATTCCTATGGGGTGGTCACTAGGGGGCGGTCACTGTATTGTTGTTGGAGGGGATGTATTATTGCTGGAGGTAATCTTTTGTAGCTGGAGGGGGATTTAGTGTCTCTGGAGGGGATGTATTGTTACTGGATGAGGATCTATTGTTGCTAGAGGGGGTGTATTGTTGTTTGAGGGGATGTATTGTTGCTGGAGGGCATGTATTGTTCCTGAAGGGGATCTCTATTTTTGCTGTTGGGGTATGGATTGTTGCTGGAGGAGATCTATATTCACCGGAAGGGATCTACTGTAGCCGGAGGGGGATGTATTGTAGCTGGAGGGGATCCATTGTTGCTGGAGGGGGATCTATTGTTGTAAGGGATCTATTGTTGTTGGGGGTTATATTTTTTTGGGGGGTATCTATTGTTGCTGGAGGGGGTGTATTGGTGCTGGAGGGGGATCCATTGTTGCTGGAGGAAGATGTATTGTTGATTGAGGGGAATCTATTGTTGCTGGAGGGGCGTGTATTGTTGGAGGGGATCGATTGCTGCTGGAGGGGGATCTATTCTTGCTAGAGGGGGGAGTATTGTTGCATGAGAGGATCTATATTCACTGGAGGGGATCTATATTCGCTGGAGGGGATGTATTGTAGCTGGAGGGTATTTAGTGTTGCTAGAGGGGATGTATTGTTGCTGGATGGGGATCTATTGTTGCTAAAGGGGGTGTATTGTTGTTGCAGGGGATGTATTGTTGCTGGAGGGCATGTATTGTTCCTGAAGGGGATCTATTTTTACTGTTGGGGTATGTATTGTTGCTGGAGGAGATCTATATTCGCTGGAGGAGATCTATATTCACTGGAGAAGGATGTATTGTTGCTGGAGGAGGATATATTGTTGCTGGAGGGTGATTTATTGGTACTGGAGGAGATGTAGTTTTGATGGAGGGGTTCTATTGTTGCTAGAGAGGGGTGATTGGTGCTGGAGGGCGATGTATTGTTTCTGGAGGGGTATGTATTGTTTCTGGAGGGGGATCTATTGCTGGATGGGGATCTATTGTTGCTGGAGGGGATGTATTGTAGCTGGAGGGGATTTAGTGTTGCTAGTGGGGATGTATTGTTGCTGGGTGGGGTTCAATTGTTTCTGGAGGGGGTGTATTGTTGCTGGAGGGGGATCTATTGTAGCTGGGTGGGGATCTATTGTAGCTGGGTGGGAATGTATTGTTGCTGGAGGGGATGTATTGTTGCTAGTTGGGGATCTATTGTTGCTAGAGGGGGTTGTATTGTTGTTGGAGGGGATGTATTGTTCCTGAAGGGGATCTACTTTTTGCTGTTGGGGTATGTATTGTAGCTGGAGGGGGATATATTGTTGCTGGAGGGGGATATAATGGTTCTGGGGGGAGATCTGTTGCTGCTGGAGGGGGATTTATCGTTGCAGGGGGAGAGTTTATTTTTTCTGGAGGGGTGTCTATTGTTGCTGCAGGGGAATATATTGTTGTTGGAAGGGGGTCTATTGTTGGAGGGGGATCCAGTGTTGCTGGAGGGGCATGTATTGTTGCTGGAGGGGGTGATTGGTGCTGGAGGAGGATCCATTGTTGATGTAGGGGGATGTATTGTTGCTGGAGGAGGATCCATTGTTGCTGGAGGGGGATGTATTGTTGCTGGAGGAGGATCCATT